CTAATCTCTCAAATATCTTTTTAAGATTTGCTATATGTTCTTCAAGAGAAGTGGAAAATATAATAATATCATCCATGTAAACTAGGCATATTTTGTTTTGTAAACCTATTAATACGTTGTCCATAACTCTTTGAAATGTGGCAGGGGCATTTTTTAAACCAAAGGGCATACGGTTAAATTCGTAATGTCCATTTTCTACATTGAAAGCTGTTTTGCTTATTGAGTTTGGATGCATTTCAACTTGGTGGAATCCAGAAGCTAAGTCTAGAGTAGTAAAATAATTACTTCTTCCAAGTCTGTCAAGAATGTCTGTTATGTTTGGTAATGGGTATCGATCGTCTATCGTTTTTTCATTGATTTTTCTATAATCTACGACCATTCGCCATTTCTTTATGCCTGAAGCATCTAACTTTTTAGGTACAATCCAGACAGGGGATGACCAGGGACTACATGATGGTCGAATAATGTTATCTTCTAACATTTTCTGGATTTGTTTATTCACTTCTTGTTTATGAATATGTGGGTATCTATACGTCTTTGTGTGAACTGGGATTTCGTCTTTTGTCTTAATTTCGTGTTTAACTTGATTTGTGAATGATAGCTTATCATTTGGTTTGTGAAAGACTTTAGGGAACGAATTTACAAGTTTTTGTAAAGCTTTTACTTCTTCTGAGTTTAAATGATCAGTTCTTAAAAGGTTTAAAGACGTTTTTTTATAAGGTTTGTCTTTATAGTCATTAGTGTTTTGGGTAATTATCTGTTCTGCGTTAAACAATTGATAATTCTCTTCTTCAAAAGGTTCACATATTTCTTGAATATCATCAATATGACAATCTAATGTGAGGATTTTGTCTTTTAAATTATAAACATCAAGTGGTATTTTACCATTTTTAATTGTATTAATAGTTGATGGAATTTAATAATTTTCATCTTCTACAATGTCAGTTATTATTTTAGTTCCGTCTGGAATTCTTGTTAGAAATTCACATTTTTGAACTGTGTTAGGGGGAATTTCAATAGTTTGATTTTCAAAGTCACTTCTAAATTGAAATGGTATACATGTTTGATCATTTACAAGACACATATTTTCAAAATCGATATTAAGTTTGTTATCATATAGAGCTTTGATTCCTATAATTCCATCGAAATAATCATGAAATGAATACATGAGCATTTCTATTGCATTTATGTCATATTCTTGTAAAATTGGAATTTTAAGTTTTCCTTTAATTATTGTGGTTGTTCCCGTACATGTGGATAGTTTAGATTTTGTATTAGTAATGTACTGATTAAAGTATTCTTCAGCTATGGAAGGTCTTATTAGTGAGGCATGACTTCCGGTATCAATTAATAATTTACAAGGTGAATTTCTATAAAAGGTAATTGATTAATTTGGAATTCATTTAAAGTTAATGCTGATCCGAGGCTTTTAAACAAAAATTTTCGGATTCATCAATTTGTCGTTCATCAGGATTTTCAAAATCTTGATATTCATATTCACTTTGATTTTCTTGGTTTTCACCAGAAGAAAGGTCAATTTCTTCTTCAAAATTTTCATTTTCTGAAAAATCTTGTTCAACTGGAATTAATTGTAAAATATTATTTTCTTCTTTAATTGTGTATTGAACAAGTCTTTTTTGGAAATTTTGTTTAAATGCGTGAGTGCGAGGTTGCACTGAAATTCCGGACATAGGTGTGGGTTTTGGAAATTGTTGGTTTGTATTTTTCTTAAATACATTGGATTGTTTATTATAGTTTTTTCCAAAAGTTTGTGAACTAGTTGGGAATTTCTGTTGATAATTCGCTCTTGGCTGAATGTTTATAGGTTGTGAGGGAAATTGTGATTGTTGAAATTGTTTCTGTGGAAACTGTGTTTGCACAAATTGTCTTTGAGGGAATTGTGTTTTCTGTTTTGAATTAGTGTATGAAGTGTGTGTATTATTATTTTTATTAATTGAATTATTAAATTTCATATGGTTTTCAGCTAATTGATAATTTAATACGCAACCTGTAGCTGCATCTAAAGTTAGTGGATTTTGCACCATTAAAATTATTCTTAATTCAGCAGGAGAGTTTGTGACTAAATTTTGGATTGCCATTATTTCATTTTGGTCTACCAAAACATTTGCTACTGCAACTAAATTTTGATCACTCATTATCTTAGAAGTTATTCTATGATTTAAACTTTTTAATCTCTCTAAATAATCAAAAATATTCTCTTTAATATTTCGAGTAGTATACATTAATTCTTGTACTAAGTTTTGTCTAGAATATGGGTCTCCATATTTTAATCTTAAAGCGTTCTTTATATCAATCCATGTTTTTAAATCAGGACATGACATAAGGAAGTTTCCTGCTTCATTGATTAATTTTGATTTAATCGCTGTTATAACATATTCTTTCTGTGCATTTTCGCCAGTATAATATGTAGTATAAAATTCTTCGATATTACTAATAAAATATTCTAAGTATTGTTTTTCGCCACCAAAAGGCTTAAGTAATTGAATAGATTTCAAATTATCACCCATGGTTCTTGGTTGATGATTATTATTTCTTAACGAATTATTAGTAGGTACTTGGATTATATAAATGAGTTAAGTTAAATTGGGTTAAGAGGTTCTGTATTTCCTCTTCAGAATCTGACATGTATTTTTTGAATTATATGCTTATTTATAGATAGGAAAATAAAAAATAGTTTCTCCAAAAATGTATTATTTTTTCTGAAAATTAAAAAATTGGAAAAAATTATTTATAATAGAAAATTGAGAATAGTTTTCTCAAAAAAAATCTTTTAATATTATTATTTTTTTTTTTTTTGAAAATTAAAAATCAAAAAAAAATTCAAAAATTCAAAAAATTCAAAATTAGGTGTATCTAATACCTAATTCATAATTTATGGAAATAAATCGTAATTGATATATTTTTTCCTAAATTAAAAATTTAAAATGAACTAAGTATTCAGTTATCAATTATATTTTTAAAATGAATTATTTAGTTATCAATTATATTTTTCTTTTAAATTACGTATTTATTTAGTCGTTAATTATATTTTTAAAATTAAATTCTAGTTTAAAAATTATTTATTTAATATAAAAGTTTACTTTCTTAAAATTAAAAAAATCGAAAAAATTCAAAATTAGAATTTTTATAATATATAAAATTAAAAATCAAAAAAAATCAGAAATTTAATTTTTTTCTTCAAAGATTCAAAATTGAAGTTTAGAGGCTTATTAGGTTATTCAGTTATTTGAAAGTTAAAGTTGGAAAAATAAAAAAATTGGAAATTTTATTTTTTCTCAAAAAAATTAAAGGATTCAATTCATTATTCAGTTTCTTGAAAATGAAAATTAAAAAATTGGAAATTTTATTTTTTTTCCTTTGTATTTGGTCTCAATGCCAAAACAAATTGAAATTGAAAATTTTTTTATGATAAAAAAACTCAAAAAAAAAGAAATTTTTCAAAAGAACTTAATTATGAAACACCAATTACAAAATACAATTTATAGGAAAAAGGGATTACTGACAAGGCACGATGCTTGAAACTGTAACACTTTTAACTTTGTACGTTGATCTTGTTGCTTCTTTTCTTCAGTTAATTTTTTCAAAAAGTGGAACGAATTGGATTAAACTTTTTCGAAAATTCAATCTCTGGACTCTATAGCACTCTGAAGAACATCCGCACCGACTTGCGCCAATTATAATTTCGATTCAGAAACTTGTATATTTAAAAAACATTTATTTTATTAATTAAAATACAATACTGACAATCGGAAAATATGTGGATCAAATTGCTACAGGGAGTGCCTGAAAACAAATGAACGCTCCTTACTGGAAAGCTCTCGCTTAAATAATAAATATTTGCTGATCCAAGCATTTTCCTTAGCAGGTGGCGATACTACCAGTGCAGTACCGCTGATTAAGCAGTTTTATATATTTATTAGTATTGACATAGGCGTACGCTAATAATTAACATAGGAAAGGAGAATTATTAGTATAAGGATAACATGGGGTCTTACAATATAACTTCGCCGATGAACACTTTGCTTTTCTCTTTAGTCAAGGTGAAAAATTCATTATTCTTATATCAAGGATTGCAAAGTGAATACAAATTTTTTATTCATTATAGATGCCCCGATTATGCTGTGTTCCAGGCTGCAAGTCAAACTACAGAAGTAGCTTGAAAAAAGAGGAATTACAAACCACATTCTCATTTCCCTCTGAAAGTGAACTTCGTCAATTATGGTTACGAGCCATCCATAGAGAAAAAAACTTCGAAATCACAAAGAATTCAGTTGTGTGTTGTAAACATTTTCATAGTACAGAAATACAAAGAGTGGAGCATTACAAAAACAAAGAAGGAATTTGGTGCGACCATCCCTTGATGCGACCTAAACTAATGAAAGGAGCAATTCCTCATATATTTGAAAATCAACCAAAATATCTAACACATTCAGTGACTAAACGAAAAGATCCAGAAACCAGAAGACTAGAATTTTTAAAACAGGAAAAGGAAAAAGTCCAAAATTTTTTGAGAAACGATTTAATTGCCAATTTTTATGATCTATGCAAGGAAAATATTGAGTCAAAAATTTCTCTCAAATGGTGGCATTTTAAAATTGCAGATGAGTCTGTATATTTTTTTCTGCTGAACATCTCAATGGACCCCTCTGAAGACTTACATAAGGATGGTGTTAAAGTTATTTCTAGTTTAATTATAAACAAAAACCTAGACATACAGGTTTTTATTGAAAATTCTGAATTATCGAAAAAGGACCTCAAGTTGATATTATCTGGAGATGAAAAAATAACTCGTTGGTCTCAAATAGAAAATCTACTAGCTAGATATGCTTTTACCAAAGACATTCCTGTAGAAAGTAGCCACTATTTAGAAAAAGCTTATCAAAATGTTCAAACAGCTATAAAGCATCTTGACAGTGATAGTGATAGTGATGTTGGTGATAGTGTGAACTTGCAGCTATTGGCCAATCAGCTATTATTGAATGGAAAGAAAACAAAAAGGTACACTCTTCCCACTATGCTTTTTTCTCTTTCAATATATAATCAGTCCTCTGCAACTTATGAACACCTACGAGAGTATTTCATTCTTCCTACAAAAAGACATTTGCAGAAAGTTTCTTCTGATTTTAATGTTTCCCCTGAAGAGAGCAATGACACTTATTTTTCTTATGTATCATCAAGCCTTTCTGAGTCTGAAAAAATTGTGTGTCTCCTAATTGATGAAATTTACATAAAAAGTGGTTTTCAGTACAAAGCAAAAAATATAACTGGGTATGCAGAAAACAATGCTAATGAGTTCGCAAAAACTATTCAAACGTTCATGATATCATCTGCATTTGGACACTTTAAAGAAGTGATTCGGTTAGTTCCTGCATGCAAAATGACTGGTTCTCAACTTCATGATAAGGTTCTTGAAACCGTCAAACTTATTCAAAATTATGGTTTTACTGTATTATGTATAATTACAGACAACAACAGGGTAAATCAAAAATTGTTTGGTCTACTTTCTGCAGACATACATATAGTCCGAGATCCGGCTGCAAATATTTGGACCGATCGCGTAACCACTCGAAATTGCAAGAATATTAAAGTTTTGAATATAGACTTTTGAAAAATGTCATGGTGCCAGTGAAGTTTTGGCCGAAAGAGCAATAAAAAAAATTATTTATTGCTCAAGGGTCACCAAAAAATCCTTGTTCCGGAATATGCGCGGCAATTATGCGATGCGGAAAGTGTATTGGTGCCACCTCCCATTTGGCCGCGTTGCCGCGGCACCAGCATGTGAAGGGGTAGTTTTTTTCAGCAAATCATCCCCATCACGTATCCACTTGATCGAGGAATCAAATGAAAGGTACTGATCTATCCAATAAAAAAAACGAATGGTGCCACTTCAAATCCGGCCGGAAGTGCCTGGCACCAATGATTTTATGCGCAATTATCACGGAACGTTATCTCGATTATTTTCCAAAAAATTTGTGAATTTAGTTTTCTCTCGATTTTTTGTGGGCTTAAGTGTTATCTGAAACTTTAGGATTTATAGGTAATTGTGATAAATGAAGTCATTATTGTAAAATTGTGTAGCGGAAATCTAGTCCGGAATCAGTAGAACACAATGACCTATTATCACAGATAGACGGATTTATAAACAAAAATATATGTTGCCAACATGTCCGATTCTTTCTATCCTGACCAAATTCCCCCACTACTAAAATGCCACATTTAGTCGTAGGAATATTTATTTTCTCTTTCTAACGCAGGTAGCCTTTCAATTACACTTGGCAACACAGCACTAGACTAAACTCGGCCTCCTGTTTTTCGTAGTAATACGTTCCGTTCTGGCCCAGAGTATCTTGTTGTTTCTATCCTATGCGATGATGATTAGTATATGTTAAAAAAAGACCGATACATAAGATATGTTCGTGTTAGTCTGGAATACTTTTCGAATATCATAGTTTTGGTTTTGGGGCGGGATCAATTGAGCCTGGTCTATGGCAGGGAACAGCTGTTGAGACCGGACTTAGATCGGGCGACTTATCCCCACTATGGACCGCCCGCATCCCAAATCCCCCCTGGCCTATAAACATGTCAACACAACAAATAGTATTTTATGGATGGAATACTCTGTCTATCTGTGATAATAGGTCATTGGTGGAACATTATCGACAGAAGCATTCAACGTTTCTGGTTGCAAACGTACCATACAGCATTTTCTGTGAAAAGTTTCTCGTATTCTTCTCTTTGCTTGGCCTTCACAATTCGAATTTTTCGAGGAATTTTTCTATAACAGGTCTCGTGATATCCGATATTGTCTGACGATTCTTGCGAAAGTTGTACATCTCCGTACAAATAATGCTTCACTTTTTTCACATACGAAACACTTATTCATTTCCATAAACTGAAGGTTAACTTCTGGAATTTCATAGTGATTCCAAAAGGTAACTTTTAATTTTCTGTCAAAATAATCTTATAATATCTACCTACCCTCCAATGTGGATCATTTAACATAATGGCCTTGTGGGGTTATGGCTTATATGCCTTCTGCCGGCCATATTGTTTGTCAAAATCACGTATTTTGAACAAGCTAAATACTAAAAAAAAAAATTATTTCTAATAACATTACGGCACTTTTGGTGGGCGATGCGTTTGTTTTTTTTTTGTCGCACAGTATATAAATACAAATTGTATAACATAGTAAAATTGTTTATTGTACCTAATTATGAAAATGCATTACTATAACAAATAAGTACCAAACTCAAATTGTGACCCATAGACCCAAAATATGACTTTATTCATGATAGTGACATTTAAACCCCGACTGTGACGTAGTGAGTAGGATTAAGTAAAAATAGCACTAACAAACAACTTAAAGTTGTTTCTGTGCTTACTTGTTTATTTTCTAAGGTAGATTGTAGATTTCAAGTTATATTGTACCATTTGTTATTCGAAAATAAACTATTATTCTATTATTATTATTATTATTATTAGGTATTATTATTATTAGAGCGGTAGAAGTATAAAACTGCACAGAAATGCCCTGCCTGTGGCCTATTTTGCACCAAATTTATTGAAAATTATCAATTTTCACAAATTTTTTAGATGATTAGTTCCAATAACATAATGCTCTACAACATTGATACTGCAGGTTTCGGTTGAAAATTGGAAAATAATCGGGATAACATACCGTGATAATTGCGCATAAAATCATTGGTGCCAGGCAGTTGCGGCCGGATTTGAAGTGGCACCATTCGCTTTTTTTATTGGGAAGATCAGTACCTTTCATTTGATACCTCGATCAAGTGGATACGTGATGGGGATGATTTGCTGAAAAAAACTACCCCTTCACATGCTGGTGCCGCGGCAACGCGGCCAAATGGGAGGTGGCACCAATACACTTTTCGCATCGCATAATTGCCGCGCATATTCCGGAACAAGGATTTTTTGGTGACCCTCGAAAATAAGCAATGTTGAAAAATTGAGCAATAAATAATTTTTTTTATTGCTCTTTCGACCAAAACTTTACTGGTACCATGACATTTTTCAAAAGTCTATATACAAAACTTCAATATTCTCGCAATTTCCAGTGGTTACGCGATCGGTCCAAAAATTTGCAGCCGGATCTCGGACTAATATGAAAAATCCTAAAAATTCAAATAAGCTGATATTTTTAACCTATGATTTTGTTCATATATTCAAAAATATTTGGTTTAATTGGATAAATCTCAAAAACTTTCAAAACACATTCATTTTTCCAGATTTTGAAGATTTTTCTATTAAATGTAAAGCTTCCTACGAAGATATCAGAAAAACTTATAAAGATGAGCTAAGCCAGTTTACTAAAAAAGCATATAAACGTAATGACAAAACTGTATTTCCAACTAATTTAGAAAGACAGAATGTTCATTTAGCTGACAATGTTTTCCACGATTCAACAATTGCAACTGTTAACTGTTATGAATCTTATCAGGGCACTTCAAAATTTCTTCAAATTATTAAAAAATGGTGGAATATAGTTAACTGTAAGAGTACAATTAAAGGAAAAATAAAAAGGAATAATTTGTCTACCCCTTTCTTAGGTAACTTTGGAGATGATTGCAAACATGAATTTTTAAATAGATTTTTAATATGGCTTGAACAATGGCACAATGATGGTGAAAATGTCGGATTGACAAGAGATACGCATAATGCTTTAAAAAGAAGCACCCAAGTACTTCTAAGTTTAACAAAGTATTCTTTCAATAGGTTTTCAATTAAATATCTTCTTCCAGGAAAGTTTCAGACAGACCACCTGGAAAGGCGATTTGGTAGATATAGAAACCTATCAGGGTGCAATTATCATGTTTCATTCTACCAAGTTATAGAGTCTGAAAAAAAAATTAGACTGCAAAATTTATTCAAGTCCTGTGATCAGGAAGGTTTAAATCGAGGGGGAAACCACCTTAGAATTTTGGTGTACAAACTGATAGAATTTTTTAGAATTTCTTAGAATTTTTTTAGAATTATCAGTATTTTTTAGCATTTTTTAGTATTTTCTAGCATTTTCTAGAATTATTTAGAATTTTTTAGTATTGTTTAGAATTGAATTAGAATTTTTTAGAAATAATTTAGAATTTTCACCTATTGCGCATACTCAAGAGCCTGCGCACTGCGCAATCTGTTGGGATTTTTGGAAATTTTTTTGAATTTTTAGAATTTTTTGAGAATTAGCATTTTTCAGAATTTTAGAATTATTTTTGGTGTAAAAAATTAGGTAGGTGGGTTCCCCCGAGCGGGAAACCTTAGAATTTTGGTGTACAGGGTGATCTATTATAAATGTCACCCCCTTCTAACTTTTTCATTTGACATTTTTGACAAAAGTGTCAAATACAAAAGTTTCAATAAATTGTCGAAAGTTTTTAACTAAGTCAGTTTTAGACATACAGGGTGTGTCAAAAAAGTGTAGCAGTGTGAAGTTATATTTTTTTAAATGGAACACCCTGCATATTGTGCGCTTATATATTTGTTATGCCCTTTTAACATGATTTCAACGATATAAGATGATGTCTATCTTCGATATTTATAAGGAAAAACATGAAAACTCCTTTCAAGGTTTCATATTGAAAAAAGAAAAATTATACCATTTAAGCTTTAGAGAATTTTTTTTATGAACAGTTTATTGTTCAAATTTTATTCATTAATATACAAGGTGAAATATTATATTATAATAAATCCAGTTATTATTACTATTTTTGAAAAAATAACATGAGAGAACTAGCAAGGGATTTTTGCGTTTTTCCCTATAACTATTGAAGATAAACAGAGATAAACATATCAAACCGTATATCGTTGAAATCATATTATCTGGTACGGTGCTCGAACTGGTAAGGGGACTAACAAATAAGCGCACAATATACAGGGTGTTCCATTTTAAAAAATATAACTTCACACTGCTGCACTTTTTTGACGCACCCTGTATGTCTAAAACTAACTTAGTTAAAAAAAATTGATAATTTCTCAAAACTTTTGTTTTGGCACTTCTGTCAAAAACGTCAAATGATAAAGTTAGCAGGGTCGACATTTATAATAGATCACCCTGTACAAACTGATAGAATTTTTAGAATTTTTCAGAATTATCAGTTTTTTTTGCATTTTTTAGTATTTTTTAGCAATTTCTAGAATTATTTAGTATTTTTCAGAATTGAACTAGAATTTTTTAGAAATAATTTAGAATTTTTATCTATTGCGCATGCTCAAGAGCCTGCCCAATTTGTTGGGATTTTTTAGAATTTTTTAGAATTTTTAGAATTTTTTGAGACAATAATAACATGAAAATTAGCATTTTTCAGAATTTTAGAATTTTTGGTGTACAAAATTAGGTAGGTGGTTTCCCCCTCGGTTTAAATCATCTGAAACTAATATTTTCTAAAGAAAAAATTATTAACACAAATTTTTCAGATTTTTATAATATTTTACCTACGAGCGTGCGGTAAAGTGCACTTTACCGCACGTATTTGAAAATGGAAAGTATCACTTTACCGCACACTATGCGGTAAAGTTAACTTTACAGCATAGTGTGCGGTAAAGTTAACTTTACAGCATAGTATGCGGTAAAGTGAACTACAAAGTGTGCAGTAAAGTGCACTTTACCGCATAGTGTGCGGTAAAGTAGAATTTGATATTTATAATCAAAATTCCTTTCTTTTTCAGAAAATGGATTTTTGATCATTTCTAAATTTAATCTTATTTCATTAATCAATCTGATTCATTAATTAATTTTATCAATGCCTTTTTTTGGAGATGTAGATGCTCATAGGTAAAATTTTGTACCTAACACATGCGGAAAGTGCCTAAAGTATCACTTTCCGCATTTGTTAGGTAAATAACTATTACAATCCGATTACTTATCCAAGTGTGACATTGATGAATCAGTAAAGTTATATGTGTGTGGTTATGCAGAACATTCTATCCAAAAAAGAATAAAATGTAGCAAATGTAATTTATTAGTTACAAAATCCAAAGGCGAGAAACTAGATCACGACGATTACTTCAATTATTTACAAAGAGGTGGCCTTTGTAATGCCACTAGTGAAGTAAATTATATTTATTTTCATATCAGTGCCGTTTTTCAATATATAGGGTGGTCCAAAAAAAACCGGAATTTTGTTTTTCAGATGTAACTTTTTTATTTGTTGACCAATTTTCTTTTGTTTTGGCTTGTTTGAAAGAGAAATGAACAGGCTACCGAATCAGAGTGGAACTTTTGACATTTGAAAAAAATCCAAAATGGCGGACTCCTTCAAAAATTGCCTAGTTTTGGATAGCGCTGAAACTTTTTGGTGAGACCCTGTATAAGTTTTTTCAATAAATTCTCAAAGTTCATCATTTTGCGAACATTTTAAGACCTCGACAGAAAAAATCGGTTGAAAACTAAGTGAAATATTGAATTTTTGGTAATGTCGAATTTCAATTTTTTATATTGACAGCAAAATCTAGGATATGCTATTTCAGCTAGAATTTTTTTTTCTACTGGACATATTTTTTCTATTTCGGGCTTGTTCGAAAGATAAATAGATAGGATAAGGATTCGAAATGAAGATTTTGACTGTTGAGAAAAAATTAAAGATTTCCCAGTTCCTTTAACGTAGTCAATTTTGAAAAAGTTAACGTTAAGTTTTTTAACAATACGACTAATATTTTTATTTATAAATTTTAAAAAATAAAGAAAACACATTTAAGGGGCAAGAGGCGATATGCCCTCCGTGGGCCTCAAGAACCCATGCTAAACGCCTACGCCAAGAATCGATAGAATTGGCAATGTTACGTTGTTCCAGCAGTTCTCCCCAACACTCAATGATTCGGTTGTGCATCTCTCCTAAATTATTGAACGTAGCCCCATTTCCGTAGACTTTTTCTTAAAAATCCCCACATAAAAAGTAATCGCAGGAATTCAAATCTGGGCTGTTAGGCGGCCAGTCAACGGGCTGTATAAAATCCGCAACTTGGTCTCTTAGATAGTTGATAGTAAAGCGGCTAATATGTCACCTGGCTCCATCTTACATAAAAGGAGAAATACAAAAACAGTTTTATCAAAGTTTTTGTAAGAACCAAAATCTGAACAAAAAATTTTAACTAGGTAAGTTATAAAATTACCTGCATAAAAGTGTAGTCTTGAGGTGTGAGCTGTTCAATTTCGGATCAAGGTTCCTAAAGTTAACAGGTTGTCTAGTAATGGGTAACTTGATGACGCATCTAGAGTGCCTTATGGAGATTTGCATTATGTTTAGGCATACAGATGACGTCATAAAAGTTATCAGGCAACCTACCTCACTCAAACAAGCTTGATTTCGGATAGAATATAGCGAACACAAGCTGACAATACTTGCGTGAATCCAAGCGAACTTCTTGGTCGATAACAATTATTAGTTGTGCTTTGTGGCTTTGAGAAATTGCTGCAGATAGATACCATTAAATAACTGCTAAATTTTTCTCTTCCTTTATCTGCTTTTCGAGCTTGAAGGGAAACTCGTAGTTGGTCGTTTTGCGAATTCTTTACTCCGGATAAGGTGAAAATTTCCCTGATCACTGAACCAAATTTTTCGGATTTCAGCACGGGCTCTAAATCTATTAAGAAGGACAGTTTAAATGTGTAGTTCCGTTTAACATGCTTCAGCAATAAATCACTTTTAATTATTCTTTACTATCAACTATCTAAGAGAGCAAGTTGTGAATTTTATAGAGCCCGTTGCGGCCACCTTATAGCCCAGATTTGAATCCCTGCGATTACTTTTTATAGGGAGACTTGGAAGAAAAAGTCCACGGAAATGGGGCTACGTTCAATAATTTAGGAGAGCTGCGCAACCGGATCATTGAGTGTTGGGGAGAACTGCTGGAACAACGTAACATTGCCAATTTTATCGATTCTTGGCGTAGATGTTTAGAATGGGTTGTTGAGGCCCACGGAGGGCATATCGCCCCTTAAATGGGTTTACTTTATTTTTTAAAATTCATAAATAAAAATATTAGTCGTATTGTTAGAAAACGTATCGTTAACTTTTTCAAAATTGGCTATGTTGAAGGAACTGGGAAATCTTTAATTTTTTCTCAACCAGTCAAAATCTTTATCCTTACCCTATCTATTTATTTTATTTATTTATTTATTTATACGGGTTGTCCCCATTTTAACAAAAATTTACAATAAGTAAAAATATTCTAACCAAAAACAAAAATAATATCTCTATTACGCTATATTATAAAAATGAATAAACAGAAATATATAGACTACTACTTAAGGAATTTTACCTTATATTTCTAATATATTCACTAAAATAAAGTTTAAACTTTGAAAACCCAATATCAATCAGTTCATAGTGGTGTTGGGTAAAATCATTTCCCAACAACTAACAACTGAATTCTGTTAACAGGAGAATATTTCCCATAATTTGTGTGATGGTTTTCAATTGTAAATAATGGCATATTTCTAAGAATTCTATTACTACATTTAAAATTTATAAGGCCTAGTAAATCAGAGCAGTCAATATGGTAATTAAGTAATTTATATAAAAATGTTAGGTCACATCCAGTTCTATAATCCTCAAGGGAATCAAGATTAAGCAATGATCTTATCTCTACCATTGATGAATTTTGCAAATTTAATTTCCACGCACAACTTTTGAGAAATTTGTTTTGCACCTTTTCCAGGGTGTAGATATGATTCAAATAATAAGGAGACCATACTATTGAAGAGTAGG